TCATTGAAATTTATTTACAAATTTAAAAAAAAAAAAAATTAAAAAAAAAAATTTTTGAGAAGAAAAAACCCTTTTGCCTCTTTGTTTCCCTCCAGCCCTGCCTGGCTCTGTCTGACCCTCTCCCCTGGGGGTAGGGCACATCTCATCAGCCCAGCCCTGGTTGTACACCCAGCACCGGTCCATGGGTGCTATCACCCCTCTCTGCAGTGGCAGAGCAATTCTCCACGGGGAGACTGAGGCACAAACGTGGTTGCACACTGCTGGTGTGGCACAGGGGTGGACGTGCCCAGTGTCCTGAGCCCTGGGAGCTGCTCCCAGCCTCTGGAGCATCCTTGTCTGCCCCTGCCAGGATGTCCTGGGAGTGAAATGGGATTATCCCTCTGCCTGTGCCACATCCCCACTGGCCCTGGAGACACCCTGAGAACCACAAGAGGCTGTGGAGCCCTCCTGGGTGTACAGGGCGGTGAGAGGAGCTGCACAGAAGCTGCAGGAATAGCTGAGCCCTCATGAGGCCAATTACGTCGAGGAGCAGTTGGGCTCTGCCAAGGTAGGGAAGAAAAGCAGTGTACGCTCAGCTGCCAGCCCAGCTGGTGCAGGCAGGGCAGAGGGTGGGGGGGCTGGGAGCAGCAGGCTCGGGGAGCCCCGTGGGGAGGGCAGGTTGGGGCTGGGTGTGGGGCTGGCCGGTACCAGGCTGTGGGTACCTCTCTGTGCTGTCACTTGGGGTGGTGGGAGAAGGGGGCTGGAAGAGGGTGGTCTGGTCCCTGCTTGGTGGCTGCCCAGCCCCTCCCATCACCTCTGAGCATCTCCAGGGACAGAGATCCCCCTCCAGACCTTGCCTGGGGCTCGTCCCAGCTTGGCATTTCGCATGGACCCACTCCAGGGTGTCCCATCCCTCTTGCACTGGGGACACAGCCTTCCCATCTCCCCAGCACGTGAGGAGCACCCTATCACGTCCCCAGTGATCTGCTGTGTCCCATCGACACCAGGCATTGCAGCAGTCAGCCCCGGGGCTGCCTGTTTGCTCTGAAGTGGTCACAGCTGCTCCCAATCCGGCCAATCTCAACCCAAATTAAGGGCTGGGCTCACTGCAGGGGGTGGCCTTGGCTCGTGTGTACCTTGTGCCAGGAGGGTACATGCGGTCCTTAGGATAAGGTACGACTGTCCCCGCGGGGCACAGCTTTGATCTATCTGGGGGGGGCTTGGCTTTTAGAGAGAGATCTAGGCTCCCCTTTCAGCTTGCCGACCGTGAACCCCAAAAGGCAGTGGGGAATCCCTGTCCTGGCTTCTCTTTGCTTCCCCCTGCTAGCGGTGGCACTGGCAGGGCTGCAAAAAGCTGGCAGCTCTCTTCTCCCTTGCTTTGCTTCTGTATTTTGTTTTGCCAGGCACAATAGCATAGTTTCTGTTTTTAAACCCCCTGGAAAAAGAGGACCCCCAGCACCCCCACCCTGCCAGGGGACTGAAAAAAAACAGCCTTGCCAGGAAAAAAAAAAAATATTCCAGCCTGTTGGAGCCAGTCGAGGGTTTTAAAGTGAGAAAGGGTGAATATAAAGGAGGCACCAGGCAAGGCCTGAAACAACCTCGTTTTGTTCAGCTTCTGAAAGCAACAAAACCAACTTGGACGTGATTTTTTTTTTTGTTTTCTTTCAATGAGATGGTTTGGTGGGGGCTCTTTTTTTTTTTTAAGCGGCAGCCAGGCGGTGCC